CTCCATCTCATTTAGTGTCTTGCATCCTGACACTCAAACTCTTTGTATATCCTCCTTTGCTACATCCATACACATTCTCTGAGGTCTTCCTCTTTTCCTCCTCCCTGTCCTATCCTATGTCCAGTATATCCACTATTCCTCCTCTGCTCATGTCCTAACTTTATTTCCAATCTTAACAGTCATTCTGATATACTCATTTCTAATTGTATTCATTCTGGTAACCTCCAACAGAAATCTTAAACTTTTTAACTCTGCCACCACCAGCTTTAACTTTCATGGTTTCTAAAACTATTAGGAATAAATCAAACTAGGTATATCAACTATAGCTCACACAGATAGCTCACTGCAGAGTAGTCACAGGTGGGAAAAATGTGAATTATACTTACACCTATTAGTAATTCTGATTGGCTAATTTATACGTAATGAACTGTCTCACTTTCATTTTAAGATCGAATATATTTTGTAAAACTTTATCTTTATCTAAAAACATTTTAAAAATGTCTCTTTCATGGTAGTGGTAGCTATTCCTGCCCTGGAGTGACGCACAGGAGCTGAACGGCTCCTTTAACTCTCCATATGGGCGGAGTCTATGATGCGGAAGTGCCTTCCTGTCAAGCCAAAGAGGCGTTTCGTTAAAGGCCAGATGTATTTTTAAGTGAATGCATCTCCTACTCCGGACACTCTTCAGCTGACCAGGTGTTGCTGTCTCGTGGATCCCGCTTATTAAGAACGATGTCGGACTCCATTAAAAACGTCGCGATATTTGGAGCGACGGGAATGACCGGGCTGGCGACCCTGCCGATAGCAGTAGCTGCAGGTGAGGAATAAGAGTAATAAAAATAAGTTACAGACGAAATAGAAGAGATCATGTATTTGTGTAACCGTGCGGGAGTCACACTGGGGTCTTTCGGGTGGGTTTCAGTAGGCTTTTCATGCATTGTTACTGTTGGAGTTAAAGTTGGAGTTTTCCGCACAGGCAAAACAAACTTTGATGCTTCAGACTGTTTTCTGAGCGTCCTCGTGCACCTGTAACAGGGTAGTTACACGTCCACCTGTGGAGGTCACAATAGGGTGATAAACATGAGGTCACGGGATTCCCTTGCGTAATAACCACATCTTAACTGTAACAGTTTCACAAAAAGCTGGTAGAAATGTTCCTCAGCCTGTTAAAATCAGAAGTTTCACATGAATATTTATGACATAATTATTTTTTTTTATATCACATGTATTTGGTCAAGTTTAGTTAATTTTTTTTAAAGGGTTGAATGAACTGAATGAACACATTTCAAGGCCTGATTTGTAAACTGTAAACTGTAATCCCTGATGAATACACTCTCTGCTGTAACTTTCTGTAACCCCCATTAGAAGTACCGCTGCAATAACCCACTGCTCCTCTCACAAAATCCCTTACACAAACACACTGTGTCATATGATTCATTCGATTTAGCAACATTTCCATTTCCTTTCCTTTTGCTCACCCATGGCAAAAAAAGTCGACTCATATTTAACGGCACAGGCAGCGTTTTGCTGAGTCACAGCAGTTTGTGACACAGAGAGCTGATAGTAAAAAGCTGTTTGCTATCTTGCCCCCACAGTAAAGGGTGGGATCTCCCCTGAAGCTGTCACAGAGTCACCAGTCAACCTGCATTTGTATAGCACTAATTAAACAAATTAAATTAAAAGTACAGGGAAGACTAGAATACTGCTAAAAACTACAAAATTACATAGGAACACATTAAAAAACAGTACAAGCAACAAAAGCTTCTGAAGCAGTTTGTTGCTAGCAGTTTCTGCACAGTAGCCAAACAGGAGAAAGTGACATCTTGAGTGTGCTGGTTGGCACCCAGGTGAGATGATCTGTTGTCATTGTGTCACCAAGACAAGTCCCTGCTCCTTTGATAAAAACAACACATTTCCATGACTGTAAGATCCTGCAACACGCACAGAAACCAATAACTTTAATACAAAACAAAAAGCACAGTATGCTATAAGTGAAAGTGTTTCATAATTAGGTGTTTATGGTCGAAGTTTAGTTTAATTTCCATGTTTTTTTGTTTTTTTCTCTTTCTCTTTATTTTTAGGATACAATGTGACGGTGCTGGTGCGTGACCCCGCCAAGCTGCCTGATGACCACAAGGCATCCAGAGTGGTGGTGGGAGATGTGCTCAAGAAAGACGATGTAAAGAAGACGTTGGAGGGCCAGGATGCTGTTATTATCATCTTAGGCACCAGGAATGACCTCAGTAAGGCTGAAGAATCGCACATACAAGCAAATATAATAAGACATTAAATCAAAATGCACTCTTGCAATCATATCGCCAGCCTACCTGAACTCAAGAGGACTTATTTCAATGCTTAAACTAATACCAATGGAACTGCATGGATTTAAGTTCATGTGGTTTCATGTATTCATAGTAATTGTAATTGCATGCAGTCACTGAATCTTAAAATACAGTTTCTTTACTTACATGTTCACCTTTCAGGAGAAAGACTATATATTTCAGTGATGTAATGATGTAAAACACTCACTAGAGGTCACCAAAGCATTCTTATTACATGTAAAACGTGACATTGGGTCGGTTTGACATAATCTAAAAGACACAGTATAGAGATCAATGAGAATTATAGCATAAAACTAAAAAACATATGCATAGCTTATTGAATAATTTAATAAATTAAGGACTGTATAGAAACTACTAACTCTATAAAAACTGGAGAAGTCTCTCCCCTCCAGGGCTGAACATTTCCTCCACAACATGCATGAACTGAGTCCTTGGATCCAGGGGGATGTTTGGCTCTGGATTACGTTTTGATATTTTCTTCAGAACATCAAGACAGTGTTTCTCAACTTTTTACTATTTCCTATTTCACAATGGTAAAGAAGTCTTTAAAATATCCCTGGATGCAGATGTGCATCAAGCCAAAATATTGTATCACTTCAAATTTGGACCAAAGCCCACCTCTGGGAACAATTTTCATGCAAATCTATCTACGACCTTTGAGTAATCCTGCTAACAGACAGACAAGCCGAACAATCACATAAACAACATTTAATTGACTTAAAAATAAAAACCAGAGCCAAATTTCCCACCAAAAACAAGACATTTCTTTTAAATTTTAAATTAATATTAACTTATAAGATCAATTAACTCACGTTATTGATCTTTTAAATCATCAGTTAAGTCACTAAAGCACATAATAGAGATTTGAATTTATATTTATGGTGTTCTCTGAAACATTGGATTTACTTTTACCCAGTGGAGCATTTGTAGGAATGAAGCAAAACAACAATCAAGTGCTGTTCTGCAGTTGTGTGTGTGTAATATCTCTAATCTAATTTGTATTCATTAGGCCCAACTACCATGATGTCTGAGGGCACAAAGAACATAGTGGAAGCTATGAAGGCGCGTGGAATCCGCAAAGTGATCGGCTGCATGTCAGGTATGCCTCGCTGCGTTAAAAAAAAGGAAGTTGAAGAGCTCATCGAAGTCTGTACAATCAATCATTTTTCTCATCTCTTTTCTTCCCAGCCTTCCTTCTGTGGGATCGCTCCAAAGTGCCGCCACGTCTGGTTCCTGTGACGGAGGACCACGACAGGATGTACACCGTGCTGAAGACATCAGGGCTGGACTATGTGGCTGTCATGCCTCCTCACATTGGAGGTCAGTAGTAAGAGGAAGCCAAGAGCTTTGGTTGCAAAGGTCCATTTTTCAGCTTTATTCAATCTGGAAAAAATTGAAACCAGCTAAAAAGAAAGTCCAGAAAAACAGTTTCTGGTATAGTTCAATATAATTTTAACCTTTATGTTAAAACTTATAACTCATCTGTCTGTACATAAAAATATAATACTAGGTTGGCAGCACAATTATACCAAAACTTCCTTGTTAAATGCTGCCCTCTTGTGGTGAATTCTTGTACTGAATTTTGCAGACGGGTTTTACAAAAGGTGTCTTTAATCGTGGCCTTGCCTACTACAACGAAGTGAGACGATTAAGGAAAGGAGTTAATTTTCTACACACATGTCAGACTGCTCATAATCTCTTTTCTAAATCAATGGTTAAAGTAAATATCATCAGAATGGACTTGTACTCATTTACACTCAATGAAGGGGAGATTTTCGAGTTTGTTCATCCGGCTGTTACTTAGCGGTTTTGCTCTTCAAGCCCATTTGAGATAGAATGGGACAGTATGTGGGTCGTGGTCTAAAATGAGTGCAGCGTCTCTGCTGCAAATCAGGAGAGCGTTCATACATTCTCTTGTGTTCATTAAATGTTTTGTTCTGCCCTCATCTCCAGGTGACCTTCCTCTGACAGAGAATTACGTGGTGACAGAGAACATGCTAAAGGGAAGAGCCATCTCTAAACACGATCTGGGACATTTCTTCGTCAAGTGTCTCTCCACGTCGGAGTGGGACGGCAAGACTGTTGGAGTGTGCGGAGAGTACAAATAGTCCTGTAGTGCACACTGCTTATGCCCCGTTTAAAATCACTTCCTGTTATTGATGTTGAGCGATGAATGAAGGGAAGAGTTTTGTGTTGAACTGCTAATGTGTGGGGGTTTTTTTTTTCCTTGCTTCGGTCTTTTCTATTCCCTTTTGTAACTATGATTTAGCATCTTTTGATTGGTGTTCCTTTCTTATATTTTCTTTCATTATTAGCTGCATATATGGTCATTTTTTTTCAAAAAAACAAGTGCCAAACCTGTAGTGTTACTTCAGCTCTTTAATTGCTTCTTTCTTCTTCTGCATTTCAATCATTGCATCATGAGATGAGTCTTACTGTTCTCACCATTGTCCTAAAAATAAAAGACTTTACTGTACTAAAAGTTGTGTTGAACTTTACCACATTTTCACATTTAAAAGAGAACTAAATCTGTTTTCCACTCCTCGACTCATGTTCGGCGGGTGAAGTGGTAGGGTGTATTTTAAGCCGAAATGGTTACAGTCTCCCTTGTGTGTGTCCTGCAGAAAAGACAACCAAGCATATCTAGTTTTTGCACAGTTCTCTGACCAAGCTGTACCAAATTCACTGTGAAGAGGCTGCACAAATAAGGAAATCTTTTCACTTCAAAAATAAACTGGGTGTTTTTAAAAAAAAAAAAAAAAAAAAAGTGAGGCGTGAATACGCCCTTTTCACCGTTTCTAGTTTCACACATTTTACAGCGCACAGCAGTTCCACTCATTGACATTTATAATGCAAAGGTTATATTCAGGCACATTAGATTATAAAAAGAAGGGACTTGGGATTCAAAGAATCCCACTTTAATACTCCTGGATTATAACCTGTGAATTACAAACAATACTTAAAAAGTAACTGCCTGCAAGGATTCAAGGATGGCTGCCAAGTGGGAAGACATTTCTAGCAGGACTTTAATATAATTTAATTTCTTATTAACTGAAAACTGTAAGTGATCACTTTGAAACTTGATATATACTATCCATTGATTTTTTTTTTTTAACACTATGAGGTCTTAAGTAATCTTTGACGATGACCCCAGCCACTCCCCCACCCTGACCCTTTATTTTGGAGAGACTCAAATACATACATAGATTTTTTTTAAAATCCCCAAACTTTACCCGAGACTAGGGAGAACAAATAACAGAACTGCATATTTTCAGTGTGTAGAGTTATGATTAGGCTTGACAGGGGGGAGGACTTTGGTTTTATTTTGAAAGCCACAACCGGAACTTACTTTATATTTCGAGCACGTCATGCTTCTCAGTGCAGAAGCAGAGGAGCAGCTACAGCTGTCCTTTTAAAGTTGACTATCCGGTTCTTCATGTGACTGAAAGTCGGGTGTTACAATTAAAATCGAAACCATAAAAACATAAACGCTCGTGATCTGGGGCAGTAGAGTGGGGCCTTCACTGACGGTCGCTTTCAGGTAAATAACTCTCATCTGCTTTGAAGAAGACTGATTCAAACTAATTAATTTTACTGGGCTTAAAATGACCTTTGCTGTGTATGACAGGTACATGTGGGATCCATACGTATTTTCCTTTTCGTTTATTCTTTCTTGTTTTGATTTTTCAGTGCCATGCTCAGAAATGTGTAGACATTTATGTGTATACATTTTAAAATTCTGAATTGGATATAAAATCAATCTACTGGAATCATTTCAATCTTGAAAGTCTAGCATTTAACTTAAAACACAGATGAATTAGAACTCGCTGAATTTTAAGTTTATTCAGCAAGTATTATTCCAGTTTTCTTCTTCTTTTAATAAAAGAGTCTGTACTAAAGCCAGTATAAGGACTGGAATCCAACTTCACTTGGTGATGTAATCATTTAGGAATTAGTGCAAAGGATATTATATAATAAGAATTTAAGCAAACTGGTAATTGCAGCAGGGGTTAATTTACACTATTTCCAAGTTTAATAAATGTAAACTTTAGAATATATTAGCCGTACAGCTCGTTTAGCGTGTATTTAATGCGTTTCGTACATGGAAACTACTCTGGTGGAATGTAACGTATAAAAACTCCATTACCCACAATGCCTTCCTATAGCCAACCCCCAACTCTGAACCTCTTGGTATGAAACTCAAATCACGGGCGGGAGAAGGCGAAGGCAGACTTGAAGCTAACGACGTAAGAGCGTTTGGGGATTTTTAAATTAGAACAAGAGTTTTAAATCGATGTTTAATCGTTAACTTATTTATGAATGAACCGAGTAAAACTTAAGGGTAAATTTGCCAGTTCAGGTCGAAGCGAAGGCAGCAAACGCATTGACGACTAAACTCACGGCGGAGAGACGGGAAGTGATTCAACAGGTTGGTTTGCTTAAAACAACTCTTACTTTCCACATGTGTTTGATCGCGAACTTATTGTTTGGTGGGCTAATTAAGATCGGTTTTAACTCCGTTCAGTCGATTATTTCGACTGTAAGTCGAATTAATTTGTATTTTTACCCGATGGCCTCGGGCGAGACTGTTTCCCTCCTACGCGGTGAAACCAGAGTTACAACCCCCACTCTCCATTTAAAGTACCCACATTGTTATGCTCATTTACAGGCTCACCATTTTAGTCTGAGCTCTACAAGGGCAGGTCCTGAGATTCTTTTAACTGTTATTTTAAAAATCCATGTGTTTCCAAACTTTATCCAGGGGTGTAGTGTTACGGATCGTCTCATTAATTTGCAGTCTTTTAGTAAAAATGCTATTTGGTGGTGTGGCGATTCCCACACAAGACTGAGACATGGTTTGAAAAGCTGTTTTACACCTAGATAAGTTGTTTGGATTATAAAAATGAATTGTCTAGTTTAATGCAGCAGTTTTCTCCACTGGCCTAGAATTTTTACAGTAGTCAAATGTAAAGGCGAAAGGCTGAGATTCTTCGAAAATTGCCCCACTTTTTGCATCTTAACAGGCATCACCTGGTTTGTAAAATCAGTTGTGGGGTAAACAAAAAGCTTAAAAAAGGAAGCCAGTCAGAATTTTTAGACTCCTGTATTGTTATACCTGACAATCGAAATGTATTTTATGTACTAGTAATTTAACTGTAGTAATTAAATATAAATTATTTGCAATTTTTTGTATTGATATCGAACTTTGTAATTAATTAGTAGTTAAAGCTTTAAAATACATTTACTGGAGTAAGTGCTTTCTTTAGGCTTGCCCCTGTGCCGTTATCCTTCAGCAAAGGGTGACAGAAAAATCAGTCACATTTATAGGATTTATTTTATGATCTTATAACAACTATATTATAAACTAAGGAGTTTATCTGCATACAGATAACTTTAATTTTTGCTTCTTCTTGATTTGCACAGTAAACTATCTCAGCAGATATTTTGACAAAGGATATGGTTAATTTAGTCGGTTTGCTTCCGAGGTGATTTGAACAGCCAACACACTTTTTACTGGGGACATCAAGACGGGGACTAGGGCTGGGCCATATTATACCGTTCACGGTAATACCGGTATAATGTTAGGCAACAATAGGAAAATGAAATATCGCGATAGAATATGAGTAAAACGCGCATGCGCAGTGCCTTTGTTTTCATACGCACATGGCCGATTGTTGAGTGAAACAGATGAACCAGAATTGGTTTGTAAAAATGGTGCAACTTCAGTGATGTGGAACTGGTTTGGTGTTTGTCCGTCAGATACACGACAAAGCACATTTTTTGCAGAACATGCAAGCGGCCGTCGTTATTGTCGTATTTGTCGGACTAAGATGCTCTTAAATCTGGGAGTAATCTGGGTCCTAAACTCCGTATCGCTTCAGGTCAAACGAACACTGCAGCATCACTGAGAGTTAAAAACTGTCTAAATTCTTTCATCTTTAATAAAACGATCAGCATTGCTGCTTTACCAGGTGTAACTATGAAGTTTAACTTCCAGGCATCCATGAAAACAAAATTATTACATTTAACGAGTTAGAAGTTAGCAGGAAGCTAGCGGAAGTTAGCTCGCTAGTTTCGCTAGTTACCTAAGCATGATATAGCATGTTCTGACTGAGAGATTTCTGAAAAAAAAATCAAACGTACAGCTCTGCTATCACTTCCAACATAAATGAAGACAGGAAACTAAACAGCAGTGACGTTTGTAGGGTTACTGAAGTTGGGCTAGCTGGTATATAATGATGTGCTACGTGATCGCTAGCGACACAGCTATGTTAGCATAACATAAACAGTGAAGCTGGAGGACGAACACTAACACTTTTCCACTTATAAAAGTTAACGTGAAGGTTCTCTATGGTTAGAGACAAATGCAATCGCATGGCAGGATGCTGTAAACGGACCAAACTTCAGTCAGGAGAACAACTGAGATAATCCATCCACAATACGAGGTTAGTCATTAATATACTGCAACAACATGGGAATAGAGCAGCTGCCAGAGAATTCAACATTAATGAATCAATGGTACAGAAGTGGAGGAAGCAAGAAGAATGAGTTTAATAAAGTTTGATTTATCTGACTGCTTTGTTTCGCTTAATGTGCCTTATAATCCTGTGCACCTTATGGTCCGAAAAATACGTACTGCACACTGCAGTTTAATGTTGCAAAGCACCTCTTTTTAACTTCAGTGGATATTATACATGGTTATGCTCAGGATATGTCAGCCCATTTCTACTGGAAATGCCTTTTGGTTAAACTTTCAGCAAGGAATTAGCATTTGCACTGTTACATTTTTATAACGCTTTAATGTACATAAAAACCAGCTTCTTATTTAAGTGAAAATAAATGGAAGGTTGTCTTTGTGCGCTAGTAATGTTGTGGAGTTGTATTTTGTCTCGCATCAATTATATCGTCAGTTATATCGTTATCGCAAATTTTCAAATATATATCGTGATAAATACTTTTGGCCATATCGCCCTGCTCTAGTGTTGACAGATTTGCTACAGTAGCATTTCTTTGTCATGTAGAAAAGCTGAGGGGAGGTGTGCTGGTTGAAATGTCACTTTTTCTTACATTAAACGTCTACCGGTAGTTAAATATCTTCACTTCTACAGAAGGAAGAGTTTCGCTGGCTCGGCCCATTTAAGATCAACGTGGCTCACAACCATAATGAACTTGGCATCGCGGGTCTTAATAGTCTCTGTTAATGAAATTCAATCTTCACAAAAATCCTACTAAGTTCACTAAATATTTACTGTCTTAGACCATATATCTGGTCCTCAATTGTACCTTTTTTAATTTAAAATACATTATAATAAATAAATGCTTACCACAGCCCCCAAACTAAAACAAAATCCTGTAGTTCTTTTTTTACTGATGAATGCTGGTCGATTACTTTGTTGGTGGTTGCAGCATTTTGATATTATTCTTTTGCAGCTTCAGTTTTTGAATTCAAGTGATTCTAAATGTAAAAACCACAAAATATGACCTGTGATATATTTATTACAACCCAGTAACATTTGTGCCTTATTTTGCAGCTTAATGACGATGATGATGCCGAAGGGGCAGAAGCGCAAACTATCAATAGAGGAGGAGGCTTCAGACTATAGAGCTCCCACCTGGGAGAGCCAGCAGCAGTTTCTGCTCACAGTTTCCCTCAACAAATATCAGTTCTCCCAGCAGCTACGTGAGCCCAGCCTGCGACGGTCCGTCCTGATAGCCAACACCCTGCGGCAGATCAGCCTGCAGATGTCTATGGTGCCATCAGTCAACATGGAGGTGTCACAACCTCCAGGTATTGCTTCATCTGCACTGACAGCAAGTATTGCCGCTGCAGCAAAACGTCATTCTGCTGTAACGGTTGACAGCTGCTCAGCTCTGGCCACCTGCCCCATGGTTTCCTTAAATTACTCACCAAATTCTACTGAAAAGACAAACTACTCGAGTGAATCAAATTTCCATATCAGTATAGAGGATGATGAGGACTGGGGATCGATGTCCACTGATACTGATTCATCTCTTTCAGCTGTCATTTCCTCTATTCTTGCTGCACTGGACTCTACTATAGACGGGAATCCTCAGCCAGCTCCACGGATACCCCTCAGGCCCTTGGAGAACATGTCCAAGCCCTATGAGGGAAGCGTGGCCTTGGTAAATCACGGTCTCAGAGATCCCGGTGACTGCAGGGAGCAGCAGGAAGACGGCAGCATGGAGGTAATGAGGTCCAGCTACCTTGGGGATTTCACTGTGGAGGACTTGTTCCAGGATATAGACACATCCCTGGTGGACATAGACATGGGAGTGATTGGACACAGAAGCACTGAAGGTGGACACACAGCTGGGGATGACCTGTTTATGTACCTGCCACCTTTCTCCCCCCACTCCCCTTTCTCACCACACTCTATAACACCCACCTCCCAAAATGCCCAGCCTGCTCTGATTGGCCAGTTGGCATGATGAATACAAGGCAACACTTATTATGTATAGTGACTGTTGTAAGCCCCCCAAGAGCTGTCGACCGCCTTTAAAACAGTATCTTTGGGTTAACTGTGGAGCGACTACTTGTTTAAAAAAAAACATTTTGTCAAATGTTGTGGCTCTCATTTAAGAATTTTGTTATTTTGTGTATGAATTTTTAAATTCAGCTATCCTTTACACAAAACTACAGCGCTCCTAAAGTCCTGTAAAGGTTCTTTCTTTTATTAAAATCCTGTGTGCACAAGCTTTTTTAAAAATGTGCAAACAGGACAAATAAGTCGCTGGACTAATGTTAAAAAAGAGGAGGAAAGAAATCACCTCACTGGACTTTAAGGTGTCTGTACAACACTGAGAAAAATAACAATGATGGATTTAATCCATTTTAAGTACAAATTAATGGTTTGTAAATTACTTCGCAGTCTAATGATGATCCCGAGGGGGCAGAAGCATACACCCTCCCCCTCAATCCAAGTCTGATGTACCCATCTTCACTCTCCACCAGCATCTGCTTCAGTCTCTTATCAAAATCTTGAAGGGGAAGGAATTAGCTCGAGCATCTTTATCATAAACTCTGGTAGAGTTTATAAAAACGGCTTGCGTGCATGAACACCCATCACTTGCCGTCTGCTCTGTCCTCTGTCGATCATTACACAGCCTTTAACCGCGGGGACAGGTAAAGGTCTGTGCACTGTCTCAGCACAGCTCTGCCAGTTAATGTTGAGGACATTCAGGCCTGCAGTGCATGTGTGAGCTACTGTGTTTTCAGTAAAGCTCTGGGTACATCCACATTAATACAATTTAGTTTTAAACTGTAACCTTAACTGTGTTTGGACCTAACAATCTTACCGCTATAGAAGACGCCTAACACAGAGTTTTTAAAAATGCAGTCTGAGCTTGGATTATTTTTTTAATGGTCGGCGGTGATGGAGCAGGCAGACATGCTTGTTTTCTAATGTGTCAGAAACGCGTGTCTGCACGGAGATCTTTTTCCTTTTAAAGGACCATTTTAAGATTTGCATTAGTCCTCGGTGTGCCTTCTTTCTCTTTACACCGACGCAGGCTTGCTCAGTTTACCTGAGCAGTCAGCATGCTAGTTTAGACGAGTGGTTCTCAAACTGCGTGGCATTGACAACAGGGTGAAAAATTCTAATGAAACTGATGTTTTTTTTCCCCTTTGTTGGGTGGAGGAATACGTTTGATGCTGTTGCACTGATGATATGCACCTTGTATAAGTAAAATCCAACTCCCCCCCCCCCCCCCCTTGTTATTTGTTAGGGATTGGGGTGTTTTTTTTGGGCTTCTGAAGTGGGGCACGCCACAAAAGTTTGAGAACCACTGGTTTGGAGAGATTTATAAAAACTGCTAAAACAATCAGAACGGAGATCATTTTCATTTAAAAAGTGTTAGTGTGGATGTAAGAAAAGGCAGCTTTCAGTCATGCACTGGTGTTCATCCATGCAGCGATTTGACTGTCAGGGCAGCACATGAGACGACTCCTTGTTACCACAAATGTAAAGTGTGAGCTCTGAGATTTGATTTGACTGATATTGGATGGAGAGGATGGCTGAAACACTAATGTTATAGGTCAAATCTTCAGTAGAGAAATCACTTAACCTCTTTTTTTTATTAATGTCAGGATTTCAAACAGTAGAAATGGGCAGGAATCAAAGATTATCATCAAAAGTATTGATCGGGTGGATTGGCCAAAAGATGTTCACAGAAACAGCATTTAGTTCATTAACAAAATAGTTACTGCGTTTGGTGGATTTTGGCGTTTCACGCAGAGACTGAAAAGCATGAAAGCAGAATTAGTCTCGTCTGAAGAGTTTCCTGAGTGCAGCTGTGGCTCAGGAAATGATGTGACAGATGGTGGTTGTGAACCGCTCTGTGCACTGTTGTATTTTAGTTTTTCTTTTTTTCCTTTAAAAAGATGTTTTAGAGCCTTTACAGTACTGTGATGATATACAAAGCATCCTCACCCACTCAAGCGTGACAGTCCAAAGCCACTGGTCATGTCACCTCGGGTATCTGCAGCCGTTATGCAACAGCACTTTGTTGTTCAGATGTATTATTGATCAGGTGATTGAGTCCAGATGGTGCTGACTTCCACGCTGTGAGCAGTTCATGAATCAGGTCAGTTTCTGCCAGTTTTAGCAGGCTTCACTTTCTCAGTGGTTTCTTTTGTGGCAGTTTTGTCATAATATGGATTCATAAGTTTGTTCAACTAACAGTATTTATTTTAGAAAAGGTGACATTGCAGGGAACAAGTTCATTTTCAGTTCTGTTAGATGTTACTGTAGGAACATGTAGGAATTTATACCAACTTTGCTAAAATACCCGACGGGATGAAATGTTTGAGGAAGCACCCGCAGTGCTGGTTTTTGTATTTTTATATCCAGGTTATGTATTGAAGTTGCTTTCTATGCATACGTCCTTTCTGAGTAGCTGGCTTGCAACTCCAAAATATTTATGAATGACTCGTTTTGTCAACAGTGAGTAATTTATTATCGTATCACACTGACATATTACTAATGGTATATTAAAATACCGTCATGGCAGTTGTTTTATTTACTTTTTTCCTCTACGCTTTAGAGATTTGTAAGATATGTTTTAAAGTGTAGGGCAGAATGCCCAGATACTGTGTATTTTTGACAACCTGTTTACCTGTACTGATGTTTCGTAATAAAATATGCAACTGTGTAAAGAAAAAAGACTCTACTTTCATTATCTTTGTGCATCACATACCAGAGTAATTTTTATGTTAACCTTGTGTAAGAGTGCAGGGAACTTGTCATAAAGAAACCAGTTTGGACATAAGCGACAATACTCAGGCTGTGGTGTTTAAATGCCCTCAGTTGATACTAGCAGGCAAATGTCTGACACCAACAACCACACAACATTCAAAGTCTCTTGAATCTTTTGTTCCATATTCTCATGATTGAACTTCAGCAGGTCACTATAACCTCGTCTTCATGCCTTGATGCAGGGTATCGAACTCCAGCCCTTGAGGGCCAGTGTCCTGAAACTTAAACGTGTCCCTGCTGCAACACATCTGAATAAATTAGGTCATTAGTAAGACTATAGACCTTGACTGCATGCTGAGGGGGCAACCTCTAACTACTCAAGTAAATTAAAACAAATCTAAGTGTTTGGAAAAATGTACTTTTATCTATGTTCATCCACTCATGAGCTGCTGTGACGTGAATCAAATGCCCGAATTGCCACCTCAGCATGCAGTCAAGAATCTATACAGTCTAGACCTAATTTTATTCAGGTGTGTTGCAGCAGGGACACATTTAAAAGTTTCAGGACACCGGCCCTCGAGGGCGACACCCGTGCCTTAACGCATCGAGCTGCTGCCGTGCGATTGGCTGATATTTGCATGAACAAGCAGATGAGCAGGTTTACGGTACAAAGTGGCCCCATGAATGCACATGGAAATAAGATTATGTAAGCTGGCCAACTACCAGTTCAGCATACCAGTAACTGAACTTAAAATGGATTCTAATGCATTCACACACTTCAGTAAAACACACACTATACCCAAAAGGAAACTGGCACAAATCCAATGCTTGGCTTTGCTCTCACTTAAACTCTGAGTGAAACAGTTGAAATGAAACTAGTTGGGCATTAAAGCAGACCTGATATTTTCATTTCCAGCATCATATTTTCCACTTTGACCTTTACTAAAATAGCTTTGCATGACTCTCAGGTCAAAAATAAACTTACCTTATTCTAGGCTTTGGTGCAGACGCTCAGTTGCTTTAACACAAGGGTGGCGGAACTCCAGACTTCAAGGGCTGGTGTCCTGCAGGTTTTAGATATCATCCTGGGTCAATACACCCGAATCAAAGGATTAGTTGATTACCAGGCCTCTGGAGCACTTCAAGACATGTTGAGGAGGTAATTTAGCCATTTAAATCAGCCATGTTGGATTAAGGACACATCTAACACCTGCAGGCCACCATTCCTTGAGGCCTGGAGTTCCCCAATCCTGCTTTAACTCATCTACCTTAAGTCAGATGATTTGGTTTTTGATTGGCTGTCCCTTAAAAAACAGGGTTGAACAGCAGACAACACAAAACAGCTTTTAGCTCATTATTTGCACATATTAATCTTGCACCGTTACACACGTAAAGCTTTTAAACATCACCCTCATTTAGTAGCATCCAACCTTGTAACAGTAAGGCAAAATAAGAATCAGTTGTTATCCTTTAAATAATGACTTGAGGGTTTTTTTTGTAACTTCTACAGTTCTTATATGTAACATTTTAAGATTCTGAAAAGGTACAAATGCTGTGAATTGAAGAATAAAAAGACAAACATGGCAACATATTACAAAGTTTCTTTAATTTACAACTTTTCATAGTGAATACAAGCTACAGTTTACTACACTACAACACACACACACAACTTATTTTACAGTATTGGATAACTTCACTACTTTTAACTTTACTGTTCACATCAGTTTTACTATTAAAGTGCATTTCAAGTGTTTCTCTGATGGACACCATTCCAGATGTTTGAAGTCACAGATGTGGACAGGTTTCTGTTTGAAATTTGGTTCTCTCTTAAAATTATTCACCACAATTAAACGCTCAGTTTTATTTATCTGGTGTCATTTTCTTTTCTTCATCCTTTGTTCACTCCCTCCATTCTTATGTTGAACATTTAAAGACATAATTATCAATATGTTGCATTACATACAGGCAGACGCTAGGGGGCAGCAGCATAAAGCAGGAGGTAAACTGCTCATCTGTGGCTTCCTTGCTCTTCATGACCTACCCACATAAAAACGACTACTTAAACAATGTCTGATTAAATAAGATTCCCCTTAACGCTCCTGCTGCTTCAAATACTCAATCTGAGGTAATGATCTCAAGCTTTAATAAGTTTAATTTATTGCAGTTGTGATCATTTGTGGTATATAGATAGAAAGGTTCAAACTAGCTCAAGTCTGACAGTGCTATGAACATAGATGGATGAATAGGTGGGAGGTGTTTTGACCAGGAAGAAGAATAAGGAGATAAACAATGAATGCACCCACATAAAAAATGTAAAATATTCAGCTTCAGCACAAATACATTAAAGACAATATTTGTTTGTCAGCGGGACAAACCTGTCGCAGAAAAGCAAGAAGACCAAAGAGGAAACAAAAAAGGCAAAAAACAACAACAACAACAACTAAACTGTATCAGAAGTTTTAGGCCGAAGCCCATCATGTGCAATCCTGACTGTAAACAGCACAGTTACACTGGTGTGTCAGAGGGAGATGTTTTCCTTTTAGCCCTGGTTGGGAGAATCTGTCCCTGTGTGCAACACGAGGTGCAATACCCACTCCTAAACTCTTTGGTGGCCCTCTATTTCTCAAATACTCAATCCTGAAACTCATCTCAATCCTCCTTAATGTTTCCTCCAATGGATTTTTTAAAATGAGTTGAAAAGGAAGAAAATAAACAAGAAGAAGGAAAAAAAGAAAAGAATTCAGAATCAGCCCACCAAGTCCTCATGTTCCATCAGTGGTTCAAGATGTAAGGATTTGTGAGAGATGGAGCTTCTTTCCCTTTTCTCTCCGTCCTCACAGCTCAGCCCCTGTTGATGGTGTTGTAGGACACCTGTGATCCCGGCTCAAGGTGATTGCTGGCACCCTTTTCTGTCTGCCTCTGGGGACTCTCGCCGTGATCCACGATGGGCTCTCTGTCCTCATCCGGGTCAGAATCTTCACAG